GCGCAGGCTTGGCTGGTGGTGACTGACAGCCAACAGCAATCCCCCAGGGTTCCTGCACTGCATCCTCCTGCTTGCCCTGGACACAGACGCTAACGTTCTCCCTTTCAGAGGCTCACACAGGGGAGGCCAACCTGCCCCATGGCCCCCGGAGAGGCCCTGAGCCAGGCCCAAGCCAGGTCCCTGGACGCTGGATTTTGTACCCCCTCTCCGAGACCCCCGATCTCCATGGGGAAACTTCTGCTAAAACCAGGGCTGACCAGCCTGGGCCTGAGCCCTTGCAGCCCGAGTTTTGGCCAGATGTGCCTCTACTCAATTCCAGGACCCACTGGGCTGCGGGCAGGAGGGGGATGGGCTGCGGGCTCGGTGACCATTCAAATAGCCCCCCGAGGGGAGCCCCGTCCTCCCAGCAGCTGTGAGGAACACTGAAAAAGAGCTTCTAACCAGGGAGAGGTAAGGAGATCCTGTGACATCCTTGGCAGGCACAACTCCCCGTCGAGCCCCTGAAGTCTTTTTCCTTTAAAAAAAATTTTTTTTTCAACGTTTATTTATTTTTGGGACAGAGAGAGACAGAGCATGAACGGGGGAGGGGCAGAGAGAGAGGGAGACACAGAATCGGAAACAGGCTCCAGGCTCCGAGCCATCAGCCCAGAGCCCGACGCGGGGCTCGAACTCACGGACCGCGAGATCGTGACCTGGCTGAAGTCGGACGCTCAACCGACTGCACCACCCAGGCGCCCCATGAAGTCTTTTTCCTTTAACTGCCACCTTCTGGAGGCCTGGCCACTGCCAAGCTGACCTCAGAGCCCAGGATTTCTGCCCCCCACTTTCTGGCAGCTGAGTGAAGGAGTGGCCATTCCAGCCTAAAAGCTTGGAGCTGACTTCTCCTTCTCCTCTCCCACCTCACCTGGTGCTCCCCCTCATTCTGGTCACTCAGTTATTTGCGTCTCCTTTTACCACAGTGGCTGGGCACTGGAGGTCCACCGGTGAATGGCCATCATTCCCCGACTAGGAGGACCTTAATGTTCCCGTGAGGGAGGTGCGCTCACATCCACACCTATGCAGTGTAGCTGACTGCAATCAGTCATAGTTTGTGGGAGGTACGGGGGCTGCCAGGGGACACCTGGCCCAGTCTGGGAGCTCAGAGAGGGTTTCCCAGGAAGGCTTCCTGGAGGAGGTGCCACCTGCCCATGCTGGATTTCAGGAAAATTAGGAGTCTGTCCCAGAAAGAGGCTTTTGGATGAAGGATTTCCCAATAGCGTAAGGTCTATAGAGTGAGGATTTGTGTTTGGTTTATTACCCAGTGGCTGAAACAGTGCTTGGTACATAGTAGATGCTCAATAGACATGTACTAAAAGAAAGAAAAAAAGGAAGAGAGGGAAAGAGAGAGAGAGGGAGGAAGAAAGAATGAATGAGTCTAGGGTGGATGTGTGCAATGACCTGGTGCATTCTGGGAACACAAAGTACAGTAGTTCCAGGGGGCTGTAGGTAGGTGGGTGGGGCTGGGAGAGGGGCCTTATCTAATCCTATTGTTGGCGGTATCCCTTTCTTATCTCCCCCAGGGACCCAGAGCTACTTTGAGGATAAGACCATTTTTTCCTCTTGTGGTTCCCTAGCCCCTGGTGTGTACATTGAATGTCAGTGTGCTCACAGGTATCAAACCTGGGTGGTGGAGACACACAGATGACTCAGTTAGTTCCTCTCCCTGCCAGGTCTGGCACAGGAGACAGACAGTAAACAACTGGCTGCAACAATAGACAGAATGAATGGAGAGCCACCATGGAGGTTCAAGCAAAATGAGACCAAGCCGAGGGATGGATGACTTTTGCTCCAGGAATGAAAAGCAAAGAGGTTTTGGAGGAGAAGATGGCATAGGAGATGTTGGCCCTAAGGAATGGTCAAAGGGAGGTGTTGGGGTGGGAGGCATTCTAGTTAGACACACCAGGCCCAAAGATGTGGTCTGGGGCCGGAGGAGCTCAGGGATGCAGGGGGGAAAGGTAAGTTGGGGTTCTGAATGCTGTTCTTGGGTATTTGGACTGGCTTCTGATCTGACCACATCTTGGATCATTGTGCCAGCAGCTGCACACCTGGTTGGGGTTTGCTGAGTGGTTCTGCTTCCCAGGGGCTCATCAGCTTCCTTCTCTCCAGCAGGCTGGGGGGCTCTCTGCTCTGTTCAGGTCCTCCCTCCCGCTGTTTCTTTTAGCCGCACCACAAACTTACTGATATGGGGCCTCATGCTGTGTCAAGCCCTAGCAAACGGCAGACCACAAGGACAGAGTATCTGGTACAGAACCTGGACGCCACTCCTCTTGCCACATGTGCTCCGGAAGAAGGTGCTAGTCCTTTTTTTCGGGGGGGGGGGGGGGGGGGGGGGGGGAGAAAACTACAGAAGGGAAATTAGCATCATAGAACATGAGATTTAGGATCTCAAGAAACATTAAAGATCTTCTCACCCTCCTTTCCCATTTTAAGATGAGGAAAATGATGCCCCAACAGACAGGTCTGTGCTGCAGCGCTGGGGCTGATCAGGCCTAGCCAACTTGGTAGAGACTGCCATTGTAGAGCCAGAGAAGGGTAGTTGTTTTCCTTTAGCCAGGACCTGACCGATGCTCATGATACTCATAATTTGTGGGCCTTGCAGACCCGAGATGAGTCAGGCTTCTTATGAGTCAGTCTGTTGACAAGCCATCCTTGGCCATTCCTAGCCCATCAAAAATAGAAGTCCAGGGGAAGGGTATGAGCAGGCCAATTTAATTAGTGTGGGCTCTAAGGTACCTTAAGTTAGCCCTATTAAATTAAACCGCCTAGGGGAAAAAATAACTGTAATTATTTCCTTCTCTCCTCTATCGTTGTATATCAACTCCCTCCCAACCTCCATGCTTCTCTCATTCACAAAACAACCTTTAAACTAGGGGCTAGCATACAAACAACCATAAACTAGGGTTCAGTATTTCCCTTCTTCTGTCCCCTTCCCGGGTGATCTCTAGGTCTCTCTACACAGAGAACACAGTGCGTCCAGAAGCATCCGTAGGGCCTTGGCTGTATTCTAATTTAGGGAGGCAGTTACACTGAGTAGAACATTATTCCAAAAATGCACTGAGTCTCTTTCCTGAACCAATGCAGATCGGTTTGCTGAGGGGCATTTCTTTTAAACCCCCCTTTTCTCTTTTCAAAAGATTAAAATGAGCAAACTTTAATGGCAGGGAATTATTCTTTATTTTGTTGAAATTTAGTTCTGAGTTTTTCTACTTGAAACGTGTTTTCCCCAGGACACTGACCTATCCTTTAATTGTTTGGTGCGAGGCATGTTAGGGGGAGGGGCGTTACTTGTTTATTGGAACAGCGCAGTTAAAAAAAAAAAAAATCAACCTAGGCTAACAGTTTCAAGGCTCCCCTAAAGATGTATCCAAACAGGCAGCCAATCAGCGCTTACACAGCTTTTTCTGCTCGACTCTTTTAAAGAGACAGTGCCGACAGTGTTTTATCGCATTTAAAGAGAACGGCGCTTTAAAAGCAGTCTGAAAATGGGGGAGTCTTCCCCTATTTCGCTGGTTTCTGGTCTAATAAGGGACTCATAGTGTGTACTCGGGGTTCTCAGCGTGGCAAAGAGGAGTCAGCAGCAAATAGCTGGGTCACTCTTCC